GGGGGGGGGGGGGTGTAGAACTAATAAATTACAATTGAAGAAACGAAAAATAACTATAATTTATTTGGTTTTACCAAATAAAATGTTTTTTTTACAGTTTTTGGCTGAAATTTTGCCCCTTGGATACGGATCCGGGGAAGTCAAAATATTGCGGATCCAACGGAACCGGATTCTAAGCACTGGTTGTTCCAATGGAAAAGAAGGAATAGGGATAGAGGGGGGTTAGGTTGATAAACTAGCTTTTTTATTTTATCACTGAAAAGGATTACGCGGGTAAGAGATGTTAACTAAGGATAAATGTTTAATTGTACCTTGTGAAGCAGGATCCATTTGATTTTGATCCGGATCCGGATCATGGATGGATGGAATAGAGAGAAGAGAGGATGAAACGATAAATTATGGTACGGAAGGAAGAGATCAAATAGACGGCAACGGATATATATTTAGAAAATGGTTCTAGGAGGGTTCCAAGAGGGGTCCAGGAGGGTTCCAAGAGGGGTCGACTGTCAACAGAGGAATTGTTATAATCCCCCAATGAGATGGAAAAATGAACATATCAGTAGGGAGTATAATGTGGATTGGTAGAATAAGGGAGTACAATGAGGATTAATAGAATAAGGGAGTAAAACGTGGATGGGTAGAATAAGGGAGTAAAATGTGGATTGGTAGACTAAGGGAGTAAAATGTGGATTGTTAGACTAAGGGAGTAAAATGTGGATTGGTAGACTAAGGGAGTAAAATGCGGATTGGTAGAATAAGGGAGTAAAATGTGGATTGGTAGACTAAGGGAGTAAAATGTGGATTGGTAGACTAAGGGAGTATAATGTGGATTGGCAGACTAAGGGAGTAAAATGTGGATTAGTAGAATAAGGGATTATAATGTGGATTAGTAGAATAAGGGAGTATAATGTGGATTGATAGAATAAGGGAGTTAAATGTGGATTGGTAGACTAAGGGAGTAAAATGTCGATTGGTAGAATAAGGGAGTAAAATGTCGATTGGTAGAATAAGGGAGTAAAATATTGATTGGTAGAATAAGGGAGTTAAATTTGGATTGGTAGAATAAGGGAGTTACATGTGGATTGGTATAATAAGGGAGTATAATGTGGATTGGTAGACTAATTGAGTATAATGTGGATTGGTAGAATAATGAAGAAAAGGATTGGTAGAATAAGGGAGTAAAATGTGGATTGGTAGAATAAGGGAGTAAAATGCGGATTGGTAGAATAAGGGATTAAAATGTGGATTGGTAGACTAAGGGAGTAAAATGTGGATTGGTTAATTGAATAAGAGAGTAACATGTGGATTAGTAGAATAAGGGAGTAAAATGTGGATTGGTTAATTGAATAAGGGAGTAAAATGTGGAGTGGTTAATTGAAAAAGGGAGTAAAATGTGGATTGGTTAATTGAATAAGAGAGTAATATGTGGAGTGGTAGAATAAGGAAGTAAAAGGCCGATTGGTTGAAAATGAGAGTAGAAATGCAGTATACACCCCTGAAAAAAAATATCTAAAATTAAAGTCATAAATAAGAAATGCAAATTTTATCTTCGAGATTTTTGAATAAATCACTGAGAACACTTTAAACCTTGCTTCAATGATGCATTTATTTGCTTCTAACCCGTTGTGAATCAGACATGTAGGTTATCAAATGGATGGTCATTTAAAATTTAAATCCGTTAAAAATTTGATTAAATATGCATGTTTTATGCATGTGTTGAACTCTGAAAAATCAGCCATGATTTCTAGGCCCTTGGAATGCTCTTAAAAAAAGTTTTATTAGTTTCATAGCTACCCTGCTTTCCAAAATACCTATTTATACCTATAATACCGTTGATAAAGTTAAAAAAAAATTTAAATAGATATTCATTCGTTTTAGCAATTAATATTAAGTAAATTGTCGTAATGTTGACAGCAGCTATAAATCTAAATCTATTTTTGAAGTTTCAACCTTTATCTCATTGTAAAGTTAAAAAACTTAATACTCGCCACAATAATTTATATATTTCTGAAATCTAATGTTGTAAACTTTCGAACTACTAATTCTGATGGGTGAAATGTGTAATCAGTTAGTTTCTTTCTTCGAACTTAAAAAGAAATATAATGATATAACTCCCTGTCCTATGTAGAAAAATTGGAATAATTTTTTCACGTTTCTTTATTCAAAGTGTTCATTTGTAAAGTAGGAAGTGTGTTTAAAACCAAAATGCTTAAATAACACTTTATTGGGATGTAAAAAGTTTTTGACAAGCTAGTTAAAAAGTAAAATTGTAATTTTGATACATTTTATTTCACATGTTTTCAAAATAGAAACTTTTACCTTCAAAGTTCGAAAGTTAAAGTTGAAAGAGAATATTCCATTTAAAGATTTGAAAAACCTAGGGACAAAACTATCTATACTTTTGAAAGAAAATGTTTTATTTTTTTACAAAAAAATAACTTTTTTTACAAAAAAAATAACTTTTTTTTACAAAAAAAATAACTTTTTTACAAAAAAATTAACACTTGAAATTATGTCTACAATTCCTTTAAGAGACGTGACTTTTTATAAATACAATGACATCCCCTTTAAGAAGAAGATTAAGATGATAAACTATAATAATATTCATGTTATTGTTGTTTCTGTAGTATAATTAGTTATGTAATTTGTCTAGGATTATATACAAGGAAATATGATCTAAGTTTGTTAGTTTAAATATTGTTTACTTACCAAGTTTAAATGTTATTTATTTACAAAGTTTAAATATTATTTATCTACCAAGTTGGAATAATTTTAGCAATAATTCACATCTCTAAACCTTGCCAAGCTTCTTTTAGCAAAACTGAAAATTCTCAAAATATTTTCTTTCTGTAAAAAGTACGTTTTCTTATTTACCGTTTATCTTAATACTAGCTTTCCTCAGAAATTATATTTTCCCTAAAAATATTAACCAGCTCCACTTAGAAATTTTAAACCAAAAACTAAGTTGTGGTAATACCGAGTTCCTCAATCATAAATTTGAGGCACGTCGTTCAAGGGATTCATAAGTTAAGATCTGACATACAAAAAAAACAAACAAAAAGAGATTATTATACTTTATATTAATAGATAAAGGCACGGGCAGTCGTAGTACATTTGAATTTCCGAGACGGGTCAACCTTTCCGGTCCCAGTTTGTACTGTACCTATAGCTCTATTGACAGGACTAGCTGGTGCAACAAGATTGAGTGGTCAGACTTTAAGTTGAATTTACTTTTACTAAAGTGGTAGAGGTGCGTGAAGGGATTGTTAAGATTATTGAGTAATGTGCTTGATACCAGTTATAGATAAGAGAATTTTTATTATACCCTCTAGGTTTTCTCATAATCCTCTTAATCTTAACCAAAACAACACAAGAAAGTTAATTTCACAGAGTTTCATTTTTTCTCTCTTTTAATTTTTGTGTGAAAATATAATTGTATTAATTAAAGTTTTTCAAGCTGTTCCGTAACCTTATACAAAACATAACTTTTCTTTGGAAAGAATACATATTGATAAACATCTTGATTATAAGCCAATTTTTAAAAGTAAAAAAATTATTTACTCTTTTATAAGGAAAAAATCTGAACATCCGAACCACATTGTTTCATAAAATTTTTCATTTTTAAAGTTTTAATAAACAAGTCACTTTTGCGGGATATCCCAGGGTACAGTTATGAACAAGACATCTCATGAATGGAGGGTTACTAGAAATTATGTGTACAAGTCCCTTTAATCAAGGAATAAAGAACTAAAATCTTTAACCAGATTAAACAAAAATATGGGAAATGATGCTTTATTTACAATCTATATATAATTTTTTAATCTCTGTTTGTCTGCCGGTTTGTTTGTCAGATCATAACTCGGGAACCCCTGGACCGACTTGCCTCAAATTTTGATGAGGAAACTTGAAAGATCCACGGAAATTTTCTGAGCTTGGTTTTGAGATTCTAAGTTGGGTGGATCGACTTTAAAAGCGAAAATTTAGTTTCCCGGTAAAAATCGTTCAAGTGCGGGTAAACGCCGGGAGTAACTTTTAGTAACCTTGGCAGCGCTGGATTCCCTTTAGTCTTCAATATATACTCGAGACTAAGATTTTGAGAACTGAATATTACTGACGGGAAAGGTGCAGATATTTAAATTTTGATGTAAACGGTTTAGGATTTCAAGGCTCTATTCATCGAACACTTCCTTTCAAGTCTAATGTTTTTGCTGAGTAGTTATAGGGGGAAGGGGGGGTGTTGCAATTTGTCGGCGTTCGTCATCGTTTTTTTTTAAGAATTTCACAAAGACTGTATGGCAATGTTCCGATACCCTTAAGACCTTAATCTGATTAATAATGTGGAAGATATTTTAGGTTTTAAAGTATTTAATCCTGATAATATCTGTATGTTTTCCTTTAGTAGAAATGCGCAAGTCACTTTTGTAGAGAATCTACCATTGAACATAATTAGTTTTTAAATATTATATACATTGATATCTAATTTATACTTTAAAATGTACCATTGTGAATCGGGCATTTTCATCTCAGCATGAAGGGTTGCTTCAAATTGCGCTTACAGTCCCTTTAAATTGTTTTAGATTCTAAAATCTGAAAGTCGAATTTTGTCTACGTAAAATTAACCACATCGAAGTGCATCCTGCCTACATCGGAATATTGTCCGCCATATTTACATCTCTCCTTCAAAATCCGTCAACAATCGCATAGAAGACCTTGTATGTATGTAATATAAATATTTAGAATACATAGTATGAAAAATATATTTAAAATATAGGTAGTTTGTTAAGAGAAGTTACAGTCTACGAAAGTAGAACATATTTACATAAAATTCATATAAAATACACAAAATACGAAAAATCTGCCCTCTAAGGATTAAAATGAGTCGTATCAAAGTCTTCTTCTTTGTAGTAAATAGTTTTTATAAAACTGATCACTCTCTGTAAAAATTAACAACCCTGAGGCCGAATTTAAAGAATTTGAGCCGCGGCTTAAATTTAAGCCGCGGCTTTAAATTTTAAGATTTAAGATTTGAGGGATTTGAGACTCGGCTCAAATTCATTAAATTCGGACACTGGGTTCAAGAATATGTTTCAAACATTTTATTTGTTTTCTTGAATAGAAAATAGAAAATAAATTTTATTTTATTATGCTCGGTGCAAATGGCCGTAAATCCAGCTTTTAAAGCTTTATTTAACGTTTTAGATAAAAAATTCTAGAGAAGCAAGTTCAAATAAGTTTCCCTTTGCAAAGTTGAACTTCTAGTTAAGTTATTATTTTGAAAACTCTTCGTGTCCGTGAATTGTCATTTTTATAGAGAATTTGAGTTCCTGGCTCAAAATCGGATTTTCTAATCACTATATCTTTGCATCCCGATGCCATATACATTTGATATTTCAAACTATGAATTCTGCTAGATCAAAGGTAGTTGTGCGCTCATGAAATTGAAGGAATAAGATTTCTGCTTAACACTCCTGTATGCCGAGTCCTTGAGCGCCTGATCCAATCAGGGTTCTGTAATGTGTTTGTTGTCTATTCTCAACCAATAGAAATAGTATGGCGGTAACATCTATCTTTCTATTTATCTCATTATCCAATTAGAGATATGAATCCTTCAATCGGCGCTATAACAGTAAATGGAAATATTCACTTCTACTGAAACTATGGTGGCTTATGAAATCTGATCTAAAGGAATCCCCTTGGAACTGTTAGGATTACATGTTTGTGGGAATTTTTGTTATTGTTTGCTTGAATCCTTGGTTGCTTTGTTGCTTGGTTGCTTGGTTGCTTTATTGCTTTATTGCTTGGTTGCTTGGTTGCTTGGTTGCTTGGTTGCTTGGTTGCTTGGTTGCTTGGTTGCTTGGTTGCTTGAATCCTTGGTTGCTTGGTTGCTTGGTTGCTTGGTTGCTTGAATCCTTGTTTGCTTGGTTGCTTGGTTGCTTAGTTGCTTGGCTGCTTTGTTGCTTGGTTGCTTGGTTGCTTGGTTGCTTGGGTGCTTGGCTGCTTTGTTGCTTGGTTGCTTGGTTGCTTGGTTGCTTGGTTTCTTCAATATTTGTTTTCTCTCAAATGAAATCCAGTCATTTGTTTGGCATTTACTTCACTTTGTGCTTTACCCTATGAACTCAAAAAAGAGATTTTTTACTTTTCCAGGGACTAAATTTTATAAATAAACTGTCTACCGTCGCGCCGGTTCAAAGGAATTCAGCTTAGATATTTCAAACCATGAATTCTGTTAAATCAAATTATCTGAGTTTGAAATATATAGGGAATAGAAAATCAGAGTTTGTGGAAAAGACTCAATTCCTTTGAATCACCGATTCAAATCTTTCCTTAATCTTGAACTTTGAACCGGCAGTATGTAGTTAAGCGACATAATTTAAAAGAAAAGCTTATTGTGGTTTTAACAAAATGCTTCCCCTTCCCCCCCCCACCCCCTACCCCAGGCCTAAAGGGGTGTGTACAAAACAACTATAAACCATATCAGAACTGACTATAGCAGAATACAACATACTTTTTATGTTCTTCTGTTATTTCTAGATTATATAATTAATAAATAATTATTCCATTGATTGCATTTCTTGTACTTTTTGTACCTACTTTGTATTGTACTTGCGTTGTATTGTTCTTGTACTTGTACATTTTATTGTACTTTTTTGCATTTGTACATTTCATTCTTTCTTATAGCAGAAAAACATTATAAAGTAAATAAGTATTAATAAATAATTATTTACTTTCTAACTTTCTCCGTTAACTGAATTCAGGATCTATGAGTTTTATCATTAAAAAACGATTGTTCAAAAAAAGAAATATTCTCTATTTAAAGATAAGTTTCAATAATTTTTTTTTTGGTTTTTGCATATATTATGAAACAGATTTATGGTGTATTCATAGATTCTATTATGAATACAGATTTATTATAGAGCATTTATTTGGTAAAAATCGTTTACTTTGAAATTTATGCCAAAGAAAATTTGAAAACCAAATTTTTAAATTTTCGGAAATACGTTCAATTATTGTGAGCGTTGGAAACGTTTTTTAAGGGTTAATTTGATGGGCCGGGGGGTTAGCCTTGGTTTAACATTAATGATGATTGAATGGTTATTATTATCATTTTCCAATTTTCTGTATCCTGTATCCTGTATTTTGTATTCTGTATACTGTATTCTGTATCCTGTATACTATATTCTGTATCCTGTATCCCTATCTTCTATCGTTTGTCCGTTATCCGGTATTCTGTATCCTGTAGCCTGCATCTCACTTCCTGTATTATGCAAGCTATATCTCACTATAGTTTCAGTAGAAGTAAATATTTCCATTAACTGAAAGCGCCGATTGAAGGATTCGTAACTCTAATTGGATAATTAGATAGATAGAAAGATAGATGATACCGCCATACTATTTTATTGGTTCAGGCGCTAATGGACTCGGCATACAGGAGTGATCCAGTATTCTGTATCACAGCAACTTGCCGTCTCCTGTATCGTGTATCTTGTATTCTGTATTCTGTATTCTGTATCCTGTATATTTCCAGCTGAATGATTAAATCAGAAAAGATTGTAAAGTTAGTTTAACAAATATTTGATATGAAATCATAATATATGCAGATCTAGGTCGACTCAGAATATAAATTTTATCAAGGAGTTTCTATACTGCAGGGACGGAAAGAAAGGATTATTGGGATGCTTCTCTATGTATTCTGTATCCGTGACGTCAGAAATAATATCAAATAAAACTGTTATTAATACTTTCAAAAATAATGAAATAAAATTTCACATTTCACTTAAATATTTATCAGAGGGTCGTCCTTGTTTTTGACTTCCTTATTGGTGTTTTCACCGATTTCCGATTTGTGGATATTTTTATATGTACTTAAAGGGAGTGTTCGCAAAAAATGAAAGGGGGTATAGGCTTAATGCGATAAAAAACGCTTTTGCGCTACTAATCTTACTTCTATCTGTTGCGTCTATAAGGAGAAAATTGTTTAAAACGACTAATACCGAAGAACGTAGTGTCCGTACAAATTGAGGAAGTTGCAACATACGACTAGGATCGTAGAAAAATCCATTTAATAGTATCGATCAAAAGCGCATTAAGCCTATACCCCCTTTCATTTTTCGCGAACACTCCCTTTAACAGTTTTGGAAATACTTCATATATTTTGTTCAATTACATTAAAACATTCAATTTTTAACCCCTTCTCACTCATGTATGCCGAGTCCATTAGCGCCTGATCCAATCAGGGTTCAGTCATGTGTTTGTTGTCTATTCTGAACCAATAGAAATAGTATGGCGGTATCATCTATCTTTCTATCTATCTCATTATCCAATTAGAGATACGAATCCTTAAATCGGCGCTATCAGTGAATGGAAATATTTACTTCTTCTGAAACTATAGTGTTCTATAAATACTTATTCAGCTAAACTCTACTATATCTTCGGTCAGTGTAAGGCAGAATACTGTAGTACACGCCGAAAGCTTAGTTGAGAGTGATTTATTCTGTGTTTACAGTTCCTGCTTCAGTGCGCACTTATTAAACTCGGTTCATAGAAGTTGTGGACAGAAATTGTCTTAGTAATTTCGAAAACTATAAATTGTTTATGTATGATCAAGTGCTTTATCTCACTGAAAATCATAGTTTTTACTTCTCCTGGGGGGGATTAGCCCATAAAGCCCCCCCCTGTATACGCCTCTGTATTGATCTACAATTTGTATCTACAACATATAGTACAACAGTATTTAATATCTGTGAAACTCATGAAATTATTCTATTTTTTAATTATTATTTTTACTTAGGTGGTTCTAGTAAAATTTTGAATAAGTTTGACCCGTCCCGTGATTCAACGCCTACAGGTATAAATATATATTTATATATAGAAATTGAAATTGAAGTTTTAAGTGACCCTTCGTTGAAGAGTTGTATATGCTTGATTCACAAGGGTACCATTAAAAACATGTGTCTGGGCAAGTATTCTTGTCATTAAGGTGGTTTCTTACGGATTTATGTAACAGAGACAAAGAAGAAAATTGATAATTATTATATTTTGAAAATATTTTGTTAACATTCTTTTACTTGATAACTTAGAATCTGGTGGTTCCAGTTTGCATAGCGGACACAGCCTTCAACGATTAGACCTGGACCAGGTTATTATTATTATTATTATTATTATTATTATTATTATTATTATTATTATTATTATTATTATTATTATTATTATTGTTATTATTATATTATTAAATTTGTACCGGCCTGCCAGATAACAGCGTGTACTGTTGGGCTAGGAGACCTGGTTAGCTTAGAATCTATTACTGAAGATAATATTATAGAAAACCTTCATACAAGATTCAAACATGATCAGATATATGTAAGTATAATTATAATGTTTTAACTACCTTATTTATTAATTTTTACACCTTCGTGACCTCCTTGATAGTCAATATTATTTATTTTAATTTTGTAGACTAACACAACAATTTTCCAAGCTAGAGACTAGTCTTCAGCAATCTTTAGATCATTTTTTATAAACTTTTTTCTAAGTTAAGTGTTGTCCAAACTTGATCATTTTGAACTATGTGAACTCAGTAAAGGTTATTTTTTTTAAGAATTTGTGCATTTAACAATACTTCTTTAAACTGGATGTCCTATAAGCCATGGGTATTTTAAACTATTTGGATTGTTTTAATCATGTGAGCTTTAAACTGTTTGGACTACTTTTAACCATGTGTACTCTAAACTGTTTGGACTACTTTTAACCATGTAAACTTTAAACTGTTTGGATTACTTTAACCATGTGAACTTTAAAATGTCTGGACTACTTTTAACCATGTGTACTTTAAACTGTTTGGACTACTTTTAACCATGTGTACTTTAAACTGTTTGGATTACTATAACCATGTGAACTTTAAGCTGTTTGGACTACTTTTAACCATGTCAACTTTAAACTGTTTGGACTACTTTTAACCATGTGTACTTTAAACTGTTTGAACTACTTTTAACCATGTGTACTCTAAACTGTTTGGACTACTTTTAACCATGTGTACTTTAAACTGTTTGGACTACTTTTAACCATGTGAACTTTAAACTGTTTGGACTACTTTTAACCATGTGTACTCTAAACTGTTTGGACTACTTTTAACCATGTGAACTCTAAACTGTTTGGACTACTTTTAACCATGTGTACTTTAAACTGTTTGGACTACTTTTAACCATGTGTACTTTAAACTGTTTGGACTACTTTTAACCATGTGTACTCTAAACTGTTTGGACTACTTTTAACCATGTGAACTTTAAACTGTTTGGACTACTTTTAACCATGTGTACTTTAAACTGTTTGGACTACTTTTAACCATGTGTACTCTAAACTGTTTGGACTACTTTTAACCATGTGTACTTTATTTAAACTGTTTGGACTACTTTTAACCATGTGAACTTTAAACTGTTTGTACTACTTTTAACCATTCTTACTTTAAACAAAACAGTGATTCTTCAAACTATTCGTACTTTAAACAAAACAGTGATTCTTCAAACTATTTGTACTTTAAACTATGTTTCTTTAAACTATTCTTACTTTAAACAGTGTTTCTTTAAACTATTTTTACTTAAAACTATGTTTCTTTAAACTATTCTCACTTTAAACAGTGTTTCTTTAACTATTCTTACTTTAAAACATTTTTTTTCAAACTATTCGTACTTTAAAATATTTGTACTTTAAACTGTGTTTCTTGAAAGTATTCGTACTTTAAAAAGTGTTTCATTAAATTATTTGTACTTTAAACAGTGTTTCTTTAAACTATTTGTACTTTAAACAGCGTTTCTTTAAACTATTCTTACTTTAAACAGTGTTTCTATAAACTATTCTTATTTTAAACAGTGTTTCTTTAAACTATTTGTACTTTAAAAGTGTAATTTTAACTATTCGTACTTAAAACAGTGTTTCTTTAAACTAGTTGTACTATAAACATTTTTTCTTTAAACTATTTGTACTTTAAACAGCGTTTCTTTAAAGTATTCGTACTTTAAAAAGTGTTTCTATAAACTAGTTGTACTTTAAACAGTGTTTCTATAAACTATTCTTATTTTAAACAGTGTTTCTTTTAACTATTTGTACTTTAAACAGCGTTTCTTTAAACTATTCGTACTTTAAACAGTGTTTCTTTAAACTATTTGTACTTTAAACAGTGTTTCTATAAACTAGTTGTACTTTAAACAGTGTTTCTATAAACTATTTTTATTTTAAACAGTGTTTCTTTAAATTATTTGTACTTTAAACAGTGTTTCTTTAAACAATTCTTACTTTAAACAGTGTTTCTTTAAACTATTCTTATTTTAAACAGTGTTTCTTTAAACTATTTGTACTTTAAAAAGTGTAATTAAAAATTGAATTTTTTTAACAATATGTTCTTTAAATCATTTAAATCAGAGACCCACGGATTTTATACAATCATTTACTTTAACTCTTAGCCCTATGAAATATGGGTTATGTTATGTTACTCTGCCACATAAGACATATCCGAGGGCCGGCCGATTGGATTTTGCCGNTATGTGACTTTTGAAAACAAAAAGATGGATGATGTCAGAAATCCATATTGTCCGAACACCGTACTGTCACAAATTAAACTGCCTAAACTATGTGAACTATGTGAAATATGAACTTTAAGCTATTTAGGATGAAATGTGCAAGGTGTTTGTCTTCCAATATTTTCAAAACTCCAATTCAACATAAACTCAATATTTAAAAAGGGAAATTATTTTGCTTCAAGAAAATGAAGCGGGGAAGAAATAAATTCAGAATTCTTTCAAGTTCAAATACGTTGTTAAGGAATTGTAAACGTAATTTCAAGTAAACTTTTAGTTTAAAAATATCATGTCTTTTTCACAACGAAACTCCTATAACCTGTGTCAACACGGAAAGAGATATCCATGTTTTCCTCCATGGAAGTAGATTTTTTTCCCGAGGAGGTTTCGCTATCAAAGTCATTTGCGGATTTGTGCTGTGGAACCAACGAGGTTATAGTGTATAGAGTGATGATGCACGCTAATTAATTAATAATTGTATAGGCCATCAACTATACCGAGAGCGTACTGCATATTTATTTATTATAAGGATTGTCTGTCCTATCAATATTAGTAAACCACTCTATCCCCGTAGTAAATTTGAATTCGAACAGGACCTGCCCAATTTGTACCGGCCTGCCAGATAACAGCGTGTACTGACCCGATCCTATGGTACGGTACGTCGCCCTAACCAGACTAACATACGACAGGGGTCAATTTTCTTGGCATAGTCCCGTGAGAGGGCTAACTATGACAACTCTCATGGCGCGTTCAGACTTTTTACAGTACCCGGCCCAATCCTAGGCCTATTTGACCGACCCCACTGGCTTAGTCCACCGTGAAACAGTTGAAAGTGTACAGTACAGCTAACTAAGCACACAGGTAGAGAACTTTAATCCGCCCTGTGTAGAACTTAACACTTTAAAGAAAAATGACAATATCTTCCTCATTATTGATTAGATAAAAGTTTACGGGGTACTATTGGGAATCAGGAACAACCTTCTTCAACTGGCAATTCACTTGAAATTACAACGTATTTGATATTTTTAAAGTTTCAAAAACTATTTATTTTTAGACCTGGGCTTCCACGGTTCTGCTTTCAATTAATTCATATAAGAAACTTTCATTATACACTCCTGAGGTAAATATTTTTTTATTTATTCGTTCATTTTAAAATTATCTCTGAAACCTGTTGTTTACATTTGCAGGGACCACTCTCCAATCCAAGATTAGAGAATGATATACTTGATATCATTGATCATCTTTTTTTTAAAATAATTTCTCTCTCCCTCCCAGCTTCTTAAAAATAATTTATACTTTTTTTTTAAGATCTTTCATTTTAGATTTATTTTCTGAATTTCAGCTCTAGAATAAAGTAAAACAAAAGTATTTTTTTAGTTTACGCCCTCCAGAGCCTCCCAAGTCAGTAAGGTGTCACTTTAAAAACTATTTACCCCTGATTTCTTAATATTTTAATTTTCTGATATTAAATACAATCAGAACTCTCTCATTTTTCTCCTTGTTATGAAACGTCGTTCAGGAATAATTTTGTAAATTGCAACAGAAACAAAAAACCTTTCAAGATATAATTAATAAAGAAACTGATTTTCTAACCCCTAGATATACTTGCCAAACCATGATGGTGGAATTTTTTGAATTTTAAATTGTTTAAAATATCAAAAGTCTACGACATCAGGTTGCAAAGCTAGATAAAGGATTAGAAAATAAGAGGTTGTTGTATAAACTCATTTCCTTTATTGAAAATTGGTAAAAGGAAGAACAAAGACGACATACATTCTACATTTTTCTGGTTCTCACTGTACCTTAATTTAGGTGATAGACGCGTACAGAACCCAACCTCTCATACAACTCCCACCACACATGTAAGTAAAATATCTATGATTTTTTATTTTACTTTTTTAAAACCATTGTTTAACATTGATTGCCTTCAATATGTACAGTAATATCCACAAAGGATGAGATTTAAATGACGACCTAAAATTCTTTACATATAACGATTTGAATATTTTATTTTGAATTGTACCTGAAATAAAGTCTTCTAATGTCATATTTAATGAGTTGGTTAGAAAGGACCAGGTTTACACTTCTTGAAAATTCATAGTTTGAAATGTAATGTCCACGATATAGGGTTGCAAAGATATAGGGAGTTAAAAATCTGAATTTATTGCAAAAACTCAATTCTTTGCTAGTTATCGCAAGTCGTGCAATTTAATATAAGTGGGTCGTGGCATCTCTTCCATGTAATACGATTACAAATGTTGATTGATTGATATTGATACCCATTTTTATGGTGTAGTACATGATGCGAAAAATAACTGCAAAAAGTTCACAATGTCATGGAAAGTGTATTTTCATGCCCTAAAATGTACTTTCAACCCCGATCCCATTTGGGATCAGAAATGGAAGCATAAATGGATCCCTGCCTGGAAAGCAAAAGTTCACAATGTCATGCAGTAAATCCCAGATATATGAATACATAGTAAGAGTTTTGTATAATGTCGTATTACATATTTAAGATCAAATGCCGCGGAAAAATGAGTTTAAGATTAATATATCAATTGCATTCATATTTGAGGGCTATTATTAATTTACCTTGAATTAAAAATAAAAAGAAGTTTCTTTAGAATTATCAAAAAACTTATGACGGTCTATGTATTCATATATCTGGGATTCACTGTTGAAAGTGTATTTTCATGCCCAAAAATGTACTTTCAACCCCAACCCCATTTGGGATCAGAAATGGAAACATATATGGACCCCTGCCTGGAAAGTGTAGAATAATGGTGTGTAATTCCAAAACATTACAATGCGCCAAAAGAGTCTAAATGTGGAGAACTTCCTGCAGTATTTATTTTCACAAATAAGCCTTTTTTCACTGATAATTCAGATAGAGCTACGGGTGTTGTAGTTGCGTTTGTTTTCACAGATAATTCAGATTGAGCTACGGGTGTTGTAGTTGGGTTTGTTTTCACAGACAATTCAGATAGAGCTACGGATGTAATAGTTGGGTTTGTTTTCACAGATAATTCAGATAGAGCTACGGATGTAATAGTTGGTTTTTTTTCACAGATAATTCAGATAGAGCTACGGATGTAATAGTTGGTTTTTTTTCACAGATAATTCAGATAGAGCTACGGATGTAATAGTTGGTTTTTTTTCACAGATAATTCAGATAGAGCTACGGATGTAATAGTTGGGTTTTTTTTTCACTTATGCATCACAGACAGTCATTGTTACATCAATGTTACATGTAAATCCCAGTGAGGACAAGCTATGCGAACAAGGCGAAAATTATTTTTTAAAGGTCGTACTTTTATTATAAAATAGTCAATCATTGATCGGAAATATTAAAAAAGAACAAGATTCAGTTTGAGAGAATTCAGTAATACTAATACAGCGTTAAAAGATTAATTCAGGGGCCGAATTTAAAGAATTTGAGCCGCGACTTAAATATGGTTGGTTCCACTTAAATTTGTATTCAATGTTTCAAGATTTAAGTCGGCGCTCAAATGAAACCGGGTTTTGACTGCTAAAATTCATTAAATTCGGACTCAGGCTTTCCATGTGGATTATGTTTTTTGTTCATTTTTAATTTTCTCATGTGTGACACTTATAATTTTGCAAATTTAAATTATTTGATCTAACAGAATTTATAATTTGGAATATCTAAGGTCTCCGATATTAGGTTGCAAAGATAAAGGGATCAGAAAATCAGAGTTTGTGGCAAAGATTCAATTCCTTTGTTCGATTTCAGCAAAGTGTTATTTATATTTTTGCCTTTGTTACAATTCTTATCAAAGCAGAAATTAAAAGGTTTAAAAAGAATTTAAAAAGACTTTAAAAGATTTTAATGAGAAGACATACATTTGGAAATTGAAAACCCGCCAAATGGTTTATTTAGGACCTTGGTGTTGGCATTTCATTTCTGTTCTGCGCCCTCTTATTTAGTTTAATTCAATTTCTCTTTTCTTATGACACATCCAGACATTTCTCATCCCTTTAGGGTATTATCATTCAAAGGATGAGTCAGATCAAAGCTTAAATTAATATAATTTTGTCTTGTGATCCCCTTTTTCTAAGTCTTCTATCCATCTATTTATCTATCAACTTATCTATCTATCAACCCACCTATTTATCTTTCAACCCATATAAGTTTCTCTAAAGACTGTAAAAACAAGAGAAAAAAATAGGTAGGCAAAAAATTGTCAGAATTTTTTTATATTTATCTATTGTTCTAGATATTCCTTGGCGGACCGGGCCTGGCACGCTCTGCGGGACAGAGGTAATTAGGATCAATTAAATGTTTTCGTGATTTATGTCACAACATATAAATGGAAAGTTTTTTAAGTTTGTTTAATGTTTCGCGATTGCATTTTACACATAAAATTTTCTCTTAACTTTTTTTTGCTAAAAGTTTTATTTTTTATAGTAAATGAAAACAAATTTTTATTTTTTTCTGTTGGATTTATCTGTTGTTGAAATATGAACTTAGAGGACATAAAATATTCTTTTTTCTTGCTTCAGAGAAATGAAATTAGGAATATCAATAAAAATCAATTATATTAATCTAATCTCTTTGGAAATTAAAGAACTCTCAGAAATTTGATTACAAAGAGATTTTTTATTGTATTATATTATAGATTAAATACTTTCATGAATTTTTCTGTAAATTTTGATTTGAACTCTTAGTGTTCAAGCTTTTAAGTTGGAACATTTAAAATAGAAAGAATTGTAATCGGTTCAAATCAGTCAAATGCAATCTCCTTACCGCAATTAAAAAACTTCGGCTGGAGTCTAATTCCTTAAACCCAGGTTTAAGGCTCAATATTAGACCCAGCTCTAACGACAGCTTGTTTCACGTGATTGACAGCTGCAAGATCTTCGGCTATGGATTTACGGAGTTAAATCCGACGTTTGTTGGTTTCAGTGGAGAATTAGCCTCAATGCTCAGTATTATTCTAATCAATTTTAGGAATCTTCCAATTTTAACCATGAAAATCCACAAAATACGATTTTAAACTAGTTTAATAAAACAAACTCAGTGGAAAATTTAGTTACAACTTAGATCCTTAAGCTTGAGTCATTAATTAGTCGTAATGACAGCTTAGACCTGAGTCTAATATCTACAAATTTTTTAAGTCGCGGGCTCAGGAAAATTACGCCAGCCAAAATTAAATAAAAAGGAATTGAGTCTTTGCAACAAAACTCAAATTTTCTCATCCCTATTCCCTATATCTTTGCATCATTGTGGCATAAAATTTTCATATTCAAACTTAGATTTTTTGAGCTAACAGAATTTACAGTTTGAAATATCAAAGGTCTACGACAATGGGTTGCAAATATATAGAGATTAGAAAATCAGAGTTTGTGGCAACGACTCAATTCCTTTGGCTGAAGGTTATTCAAAAGGTTTCCGCTCTGCACATTTTGATTTCTAAACCGTTTTTTTTACAGATAAGGGTAGCAAATTTTAGCCTTATTGGAAAAACCTCAGTGTCCTTTTTTTTCTAAACACTGTGCGAACTCTATTGAATAGTTACTTTATGTACTGTTGTACTTTGTGTACTCAATCATACACGTTTTACGTCTGTGTTTAGGCGAGGACCAGGCCGTACTGCTGACGGGGGAAAGCGGTTCAGGGAAAACAGAAGCAGGAAAACTGGTTTTACAGGAAAACAACGCAGCAGTACAATTATATTCAATCAAGTTTTCATATTTTTTTCCCTTTCCTCCTTTTTCCCAGTTTTAATGTAAACTGTAGAATATCAGGTACCCTACTCTAAAAGTGGCATGATCCAACCCGGTTCAACAATCAACATGTACTGACATGTACTGTATAAGCCTTTAGTCGTACGGTCAAGTCTGGACTACCCAATGTAAAGTCGACCTAACCCTTTTTATGCAACAAATGTAACCTGGTACAGGAAATGCTCTCTAAGAAGATTTAAACACTTCCCTCGAGCTTGTATTCATCTTAAATGAAGTCCTTCATAAAAAATGTCGGATTAAACATTTTGGAATTTGTTATCCTTCCTTGAACCAAGAAATTGAGTCTTAACCAAAACTAAAATTGTCTAAGCCGTATATCTTTGCAACATTATGGTGTGAACTTAGATTGTTTAATCTCACAGAATTCATAGTTTGAAATTTCTACGATATCACGAGTTTGAAGATTGTCTGCACTTGATGAACAAAGGACAATATATTTTACATAAGAATTCACAGATGTCAAGCATCTCCTCAATATAAAAGGAAAATTATGTTAGAACTTAGTACTCGTTGCCCAGGTTACTCATAGTTACTCCCGCCGTTTACCCGAGCTTGGCCTAAATTACGATTTTAAATATTTTCCCCTATACAAGTCGATCCACTCAACTTAGAATTTCAAATATTTTCCCCTATACAAGTCGATCCACTCAACTTAGAATTTTAAATATTTTCCCCTATACAAGTCGATCCACTCAACTTAGAATTTTAAATATTTTCCCCTATACAAGTCGATCCACTCAACTTAGAATTTTAAATATTTTCCCCTATACAAGTCGATCCACTCAACTTAGAATTTCAAAACCAAGCGGAGAACATTCCTGTGGTTCTTCCAAGTTCCCAATCAAAATTTTAGGCAATGATTGGTCTTGAGTTTCTGAGTTATGATCGGACATACAAACAAACAGAGACTACTACTTTTTATTTTAATATGCAAGAAATAATTTGGAGGCAAACGGTAAACAACGGGGGCCAATGTAAACAATCATCTGTTTAACATACAGAAGGGTTATCCATCTAGTCCACTCTCTATGTATTGTATTTTTTCACTCCCTGGAATTACATCAGATAGACAAATATTGTTTCATAGTTTTCCATAAAGTTTTTGGCTCAAACTTTGATTTTCTAATCCCTTCACCTTTGTAAATTTCAAAATATATTTTCTTAGATAAAATAATCAAAGTTTACACACACCATCAAGATGCAAAGTTATAAGGATTAGAAGATTTGAATTTGTGGCTAAGGCTCAATTTCTTTGATGATTCCTCATAGTCAAATGCATTTAACAAGTCTAACTGTGACTTTTGAATTTTACATGATATAAAATAAAGTTTTTATCTTCAAGTTAACAAATAATATGATTGCAAAAGCACTACGCGAGTATAAAAGTTTTTGAAAAGGGTACAAGTTTTATAACTATAATTGTAACTATTTGTAGTTCAGCAGTCTCATTTGTTACATCAGAACATACAAATTTCCTTGGTTCACTTTCATATATACGCCATATCGACCTGGGACCGAATTTAATGAATTTGAACACCCTACAACCGATTCAAATCCTTTATCTTTAACTTTCAATCGGTGGCTCAAATTTGAACCGGCAGTAGGTAGTTCAGCGACGTAGCTCAAATTCATTAAAGTCGGTCCCAGCAATAATACATTTTCAACTTTATAAGAGACAAGATCTATCCTATTAACGTATATTGAGTTGTTAAATGTGCAGTATATTGCTGCTGTTACACATCATTCAGCTGAGTTCCATGATATCAAATACCAACTTCTTCAATCAAATCCAGTTCTAGAGGGTAAATATAAATATTTTTTATAGAAAAAATACTCCAATCGTCACGCACTCCTGACCATCTAGTAAAAGTAAATTCAACCTAAAGTCTGATCGCGTCAACCTTGTTGCACCGACTAGTTCTATTGAGTGTCTGCTTTATTTACCCAACGTCCGGGCGATACACTACAAACTGGGACCTGAAAGGTTGACCCGGCTCGGAAATTCAAATGTACTACGGCTGCCCGTGTCGTAACCTTTACACCTTTATCGAATCAATAATGTGGAAGATGTCGTCGTTTTTATAGATGAAAAAAGGGTTTCATTCTGACAATTTTCTCCATTACTTCATTAATATAAATTCGCATGTCACTTTTTTGAGAATCTGAATTTTAAAACAGTCAATTTTCAGCTAGAATAATATAGATGTCCAATTAATTCTTGGTCATTCGATCAAAGCTTTTCAGGGTACCGTTGTAAACAAAAAATGCCATTGTTCAATAAGTTATGTCTCCACTATCTACAGTCTACGATCACTTAAGATAAATAACATTTGGTTAACTATAATTGATCAGTTAACATTTGTTGAAAACAATTTTATTTTAAACAGAGCAGTGTACTGTGCTTTGTAGCAATGTTTTAATTTTACTTTATAAGCTTTCTGATTTTAAATACCTAATCCTCTGTATATAGTGCATTGTAAATACCACATGAAGCTGGGTTTGAGTTCTATTAAGAATTCTATTCTAGGATTCATATATCTCTAGTACTCGTTACACCACTGTACAACCATACTGACAATTTATATACAAAACCATGCGCAAATTTACACACTTCAGCTTCTTCCACTCTCCAACACTTAAACAACAAGAACATTTAAGGAGAGGGATGAGGGGGGGTACTGAAAACATCAAGAATATATTTAAGGAGAGGGATTTTTTATTAATGGAAACAGAAAATTAAAGAAATTTAAATTTTTTGCTAGTTATTTCTTTTTTAAGTCAAAATATTTTTTATTTTCGTTAAGATATTTGGTTTTAACAGGATTTACATGTATGATTCTCATAGGTTTAAGATTACGAAAAACAGATTTTAGTTATTTCAAAAAAGAAATATTTCTTTCATGAAATGAATAAATTTCTATTTTCAGGGTTTGGTAACGCTAAAACTCAACACAATGATAATTCATCGAGATTTGTAAGTATAAACAGAAATTTCATAAATACATTTCCAGAATCTTTGTAAAAAGACAGATACAGAATTCGTAGCTACGACGACTCAGAAGGCGTAACCTAATTTTAGATAATTTTAATGATATTTCCCAGCAGTTATCCGATCCGAAAATTGTCCGTTCGAAACTGTCTTTTCCTTAAGCAGAATTCTGGATATTGTCTTTCCTGAAATAGAATTCTGGATGTTGTCTTTCCTGAAATAGAATTCTAGATATTGTCTTTCCTGAAATAGAATTCTGGATATTGTCTTTCCTGAAATAGAATTCTGGATATTGTCTTTCCTGAAATAGAATTCTGGATATTATCTTTCCTGAAATAGAATTCTGGATATTGTCTTTCCTGAAATAGAATTCTGGATATTGTCTTTCCTGAAATAGAATTCTGGATATTGTCTTTCCTGAAATAGAATTCTGGATATTGTCTTTCATGAAATAGAGTTCTGGATATTGTATTTCCTGAAATAGAATTCTGTTTATTTGTTTCAACAAACAAAGATTTTCTAGTCTCTATAACTTTGCAACCTGATGATGGTGTTAATTGTTGACAAACGTACTCTTTAAAGGTCTATACTCTATGACTATGCAAAGATTAAGGGACTAGGAAATCAGAGTTTGTAGTTAGAACTAAGTTCTTTTGATAATTAGTCCAAAAATGAAATGAACTTTAATTTAATTTGATCAAATTATTCTGACGCCGGATTTATTTTTATCCTAAAATTGACTAATTTTAAAAAACCATCTGTAATTCTTAAAGATTCTGTTTATGTAATCTCCATTAAATTACACTCGATTCACAGTGGTGCTGTTAAGTTATTTGAACAATTTTGAGGAAGATGTCACAGATTTTTCCAACTTAAGGGACTGCTAAAGGAAAAATGAAAGTGGCTATAGGCTGAAATCTAACCATTATTGAAAGTATTTTCGAATAAATAAAAGCTTCATAATTTTGTTGAGAGAAAGGTTAGCAAGGTACCATTGTGAATCGGACATGCGAGTATATAAATAAAGGGTCAATTTTAATTTCAGTTACCTTGTATTTATTCCAAAGCATCTATTTTCTTAAAATTCGTTGATAAAGTGGAATTTTCAAGACTCACTATATCGAACCATGTAAATTTATTAATTAAATACATATCTAATAATTAATTCCTGATTCTTATTCGCCATATTGGTTTTTCTGAATATAGCTTAGCTTAGATTTAGTTTCTACCCTTTCCTTCACGCCTTTCTGACCCAAGTTTATTTTCTGAAAAGAACCGTTGAGAAGTCTAGAGTCTTTTTATCTACATTTGAATAGATTAGGACTGCTCTGCATTAATATACAAGACTATACTCAGCCCTGCTCATCAAATATTTTCATTAATCTTTTTCCAGGGAAAGTACATCGAGGTTTCATTTGATTTTAAAGGAGATCCAACCGGTGGAATTATTACGAGCTGTAAGTATATTTTCTTTTTTATTATTTATTTTGTTATTAAATTAAAAATTTGTAATTATATTTTACATGATAAGTCGCCAGAGCTGAAAACTTTAGAATGGTGGATATCGAGATTATTGCTTGATCTTCGCTTTTTCTTAATATCGGGACTAACCTAATCTTGTACTTGTATCCTGAAAAGTGTATAAAATTCAACCAATCAGAGTCGCGTATGTGAAGCCGATAAATTTGAAATTTTGCGCGCCATTTAAGATTTTACATAGGAACGGGAGAGACCCTAATTTTAATATCCGGTTTTTGATTTTTTTCTACTTTATCCAAGAAAGAACGATTCAAGAAGAAAATCAAAAGTGTGTCCATTGGATACTCAGGTTAAGTAATCGGGATATCTTATTCTAAAGTTTTCAGCTCAGGCTATTTAAGGAATTTTTTATTTAATCAATAACATTGTTTTTAGAATTATTAAACTTCAACAAAGCAAATTTTATCGCATAAAGATATCCCATTAAAGCATTGAGGCTCTTTAATTATTTTTTCCCATGATATCGTTATTATAGTTTTTATTATAAAATCATTTTTTTTAGATTTATTGGAGAAGGTGAGTGATTCAAGCTTTGGTAAACCAGTCAGTGTTCGTTGTCTTTTGTTTATTTTTGTGTTTTGTTTTGTTTGTATTTTTAGTGTGTTATATGTGTTCTTTAGTGTACGTGTGTTTGTATTTTAATTGTGTTTTAAAAGTGTATTTTTTCATGTAGTTTACATTTTTTTTTGTTGTTTTGATACAGCTGCATGTATTATTTTTTGCATTGTGTGAATTGTCAGTGGTATGTTGAATTTTTTTAGTTGTTTGTGTTAATTTGTTGGTGTAACTTGCAGTATTTTAGTGTGTTGTGTTTTTTGTTTGTTTTACATTTTTACAGTTTGTTACAGTGCGAAATTTTTATTGTTTATGCGTATAGTCAGAAATATCTCATTTATGGAGATAAAATATTTAAAATAACAAAGAAATAGAGGTTTTGTCATAATCTCTGATTTTTTAATATCTATGTCTTTGCAACCCGATGATGTAAACCTTTTATATTTTAAACTTATTTGATCTAACAGAATTCATAGTTTAAAATATCAATGGTTTACAAGATTGGGTTCCAAAAATGTTTGGATCTGAGAATCAGAGTTTGTGGCTCATTAAGTTCCTTCAATCAAAAATTATAGAATAATAATAAAAAAAACAAAATTTGCAAGAGGATAAGTTTAGACCAGTACAGTGGTTTCCGATACAGTTTATTAGCTGGAAGTAAATTTGTATGGTATTGAATTATACAAAACTTTATTCCTCTCCGGAACCAGGAAATGGAAACTTGGTACAAATCGGAAATAAGATGGAGATACCACCGAAGAACGGGAAAAGGGGAAAGGATAAGAAAAAATATGAAAAATTATTGTAACATAATCGAAGGAATAAACATTATTCTAATTTGGTTTTTTTTCAGACACGGGTAACAAGATATGGTAGAGAGGAGAGAAACTTTCATATCTTCTATCAGTTGATTTCTGGAGCAGATATACATACCCTTAGTAAGCTATAAATATATATATATATATTTACATATATTCTGGAGCAGATATACATACCCTTAGTAAGCTATATAAATAAATATACATATATTCTGCTTGTCTGCCTGTCTGGTTGAATCAAATAGACGTAAAAACGGCTAAACCGATTGGGCACACATTTTTTATGGCAACTCCCCATGACCCCAGGGAAGGTTTATGGACCATCATAAGATAAATGTTCTGTGCGTACTGGTGTAATCTAGTATCTACATTACACTGACCGAAGAAGTTGTAGTTTTTTAGTAAAGAGTGGGACGGTCGAATATTAAAATCCACCAATTAAAACAAACAGAATTCGCGATTTTTTTGTTTATTCCATTAACGGCGTCAAGTTTTACCCCATTGATATATAATTTCCAATAATTTGTTATTGTTCCCAGTTCAGTGTTAACAAACCTTGAAAACAAAACTACTGCTGGATCAAAATTTCTTTTTTCAGAGGGGAAGGGATAATTATTAAATTTTAGATAAATACATACCCCCTGGACAGATATAAATTTCTAGGTGTTTTCTGTAAGCCCCTTGGTTGAATAGTCTCTCTGACTGATATTATATTATTATACAATATTATTGTCTAGTATTCAATCTAAAACAATCTTATTCATCTTATATTATATTCAGTGAACAGTAAATAATATGTATTGTATAGATTTGTTCAGTTTTCATAACTTAAATTAAGGAGTGCAAATGTTACAGTTTTGGTTGTAGATTCAAATATCTTAATAAAATTGTCTGATAAAAAATATAGTATAATACTATTTTATCAGTTTAGACATATATCAATATTTTTAATATAAAGATCTTAAACAAATAAAGATATTCAAGACCAAAATAAATAATATTAACATATGTAAATTTTGTATGTTGAGGAATATTTAAATATTTTGTATACTTAAATGTGTATATATATATATATATATATATATATATATATATATATATATATATATATATATATATATATATATATATATATATATATATATATAAAAAACATGTATATTGTAGAAGACCTGAAACTCCAGAGAAACCTGGACTCATATAATCTTCTAAGACCTCAGGAACAATATTCAATTTTAACATTGGCGTAAATATAAAAGTTTGAAGTGAGCAATGCTTAGAAGTTGCCACTAAAGGACTAAATGGGTTTGCTATGTTTAAAATGGTTCAGTTTTTAATACCTGTCACGTGTTCTACTTTTCCACGCTATGAAAAAATACGCAATCTTAGTTTCTTTTCATCTTCTTAAAAATCTGAATTAAAAAGTAAAAAAATGTGGTTTAAAATTAAACTAGGGGTCAAACTATCTTGGATTTAAAATGAATAAGTTGACCTGAATATTGACCTGTAGGAGAGAGGGGCTGGTCAGCTTCATTCCGAATCATCAAATACAAAATCTCATAATACAGATAGAAGAGATTTCCATATTACAAAGGTATTGTATTATCATTATCATTCTCCATTATCATTATTGTTATTATTATTATTATCATTTTTATTATCATCATTATCATTATTAATATTATTATTATTATTATTATTATTATTATTATTATTATCATTATTAATATTATTATTATTATTATTATTATTATTATTATTATTATCATTATCATTATCATTATCATTATCATTATCATTATTATTATTATTATTATTCTCATTATTATTATCATCATTATCATTATTAATATAATTATTATTAGGAAAACACATAGGAATTATTGGATACAAACATTTAAAATCTAGAAAAGCGATAATATCTTCCACATTATTACTTTCAGTCACATTGATTTGTTTTGTTAATTTAGAAAGCTCTGGAGGATCTTGGATTGAGTAAGGATGAGATGATGAACATCTTCAAGCTGGTGTCCAGCGTGCTCAAGCTCGGGAATATCAACTTCGTGCCCACCACTAATATGGACGGTACGGAGGGATGCAGTATAGGAAATGAATACGGTGAGTCTTCGTTGATCGATTGTTAAAGATATTGTGTCTTTGTCACAACTACGATTTTAAATTCCTAGATCTTTGCACCCCAATGTTGTAGAACTTAAATATTTCTTAGATAAAATAATCTAAGTTTGAAATGTTTTGCAAAGGGTTATCGCCATCAGGTTGTGGCAAAGACTTAATAGGTCTGGCTTCTATTATTGCGTGAATTAGTTTGATGAATTTGGATACTATATTCGGTCGAAAACGACCTGTTTATTGCTGAGTAACATTTTCATGGACATATGATCTCACAATGATATCTGCATAGAGAAAGTATTAATCTGTGTTAGTCTTTCTGTTTGGGTGTTTGTTAGGATGTCAGATCATAACTGATAAACCCCTTGACCGATTTGCCTCAAATTTTAATTAGAAAATTCAGTACAACTAGTCATCTGATATTTTGATATTTTTAATCATTGAAAAGAAGAACTTTGAAAAAAATCCTTTATAGGCTCATGTTCTCCTAATCAATAGTACATTTATTGTATTTATTGTAAAGAGGTTTATGAGGTGGCCGGACTATTAGCTGGTAATATTGCTCTTCTAAAGTCGTCTTTGCTGACACGGACAACTAGTTTTAATTCAGATATGGTGGTTAGCGAGGTAATTATACACATTACTAGGCGGATATATCAATCCAATAAATGACGACTTTTTACCGCGTCTCAGTTTTGTAAGTAAGCTAGGGTCTAAATCTGCTTTCATAATTAGAAAATCGCCCCCCCCCCCAAAAAAAGTAATATTTAATGAACCTAAACTTAAGTTACTAAAAGCGTAATAAGATATAAAACAACGTGCCTAAAAACAAAACATCATCCGTATAAACGCAATTAAGTGTTTCTATTTTCTGAACGCACATTGTGCAATGTACATTAATATAACTTTGAATAAAAAACTTATACATATATATGTTTTATGTAACAATAAGAATCACACATTCTGTACTGTCAGTGTCTACTGTATAGGTTAACTCTGCCGAGGCTAGTGATATAAGAGATAAAATCTGTAGAACACTCTACACCAGACTCTTTACTTGGCTGGTTAACAGAATAAATACAGCTATTAAGGTAGGTTAACAGAATAAATACAGCTATCAAGGTAGGTTAACAGAATAAATACAGCTATCAATGCAGGTTTACAGAATAAATTCAGCTATCAAGGTAGGTTAACAGAATAAATACAGCTATCAAGGTAGGTTAACAGAATAGATACAGCTATCAAGGTAGGTTAACAGAATAAATACAGCTATTAAGGTAGTTTAACAGAATAAATACAGCTTTCAAGGTAGGTTAACAGAATAAATACAGCTATTAAGGTAGGTTAACAGAATAAATACAGCTATCAAGGTAGGTTAACAGAATATGAATACAGCTATCAAGGTAGGTTAACAGAATAAATACAGCTAATAAGGTAGGTTAACAGAATAAATACAGCTATTAAGGTAGGTTAACAGAATAAATACAGCTATTAAGGTAGGTCAACAGAATAAATACAGCTATCAAGGTAGGTTAACAGAATAAATACAGCTATTAAGGTAGTTTAACAGAATAAATACAGCTATCAAGGTAGGTTAACAGAATAGATACAGCTATTAAGGTAGGTTAACAGAATAAATACAGCTTTTAAGGTAGGTTAACAGAATAAATACAGCTATTAAGGTAGGTTAACAGAATAGATACAGCTATTAAGGTAGGTTAACAGAATAAATACAGCTTTTAAGGTAGGTTAACAGAATAAATACAGCTATTAAGGTAAGTTAACAGAATAAATACAGCTATCAAGGTAAGTTAACAGAATAAATACAGCTATCAAGGCAGGTCAACAGAATAAATTCAGCTATCAAGGTAGGTTAACAGAATAAATACAGCTATCAAGGTAGGCTAACAGAATAAATTCAGCTATCAAGGTAGGTTAACAGAATAAATATAGCTATCAAGGTAGGTAAACAGAATAAATACAGCTATCAAGGTAGGTCAACAGAATAAATTCAGCTATCAAGGTAGGTTAACAGAATAAATACAGCTATCAAGGTAGGTTAACAGAATAAATTCAGCTATCAAGGTAGGTTAGCAGAATAAATACAGCTATCAAGGTAGGTTAACAGAATAAATTCAGCTAT